TACATTTTCACCATACCCTGTACATCATGTTTAGTCGGAATTTATGAACTTTTTGTTTGTTAATTGGTTTAAAAATAACATATATCCGAATTTTCACTAAAATTTTGGTGTGGTGAATTTTTTGAGAAACTCACCACGGGATTAAAATTACAAAAATCAAAAATTTGAATATTTAGTATGTCAAATAAATACTAGATCTGATGCTGTAACAAATTTGAAGTCAAGTTTATGGAAGTTAAATTTTTAGTTTAAAAAATATGATATTTTCTAAATTTAACTAAAATTTTGGTGTGGTGATTTTTTTTTTGAAAATTGGAAAATTTAAAATTTCAATGTTTAGAATTTTAAATAAATACTTGATATGATGATGTAATAAATTTGAAGTGAAGTCTAAGGAGGTTAAATTTTCATTTTGTAGAAGAATGTCAAAAACATTCTTGATATGACGATATAACAAATTTGAACTCAAGTTTATGGAGGATAGTTTTTTTTTTTTTTATTTTGTGGACAATTATAGTGGAAAATCATAATTGACAATGAAATTAAGGATATGCCATTTTTCCAGCGACCAAAAAAATTGGCGATATATTGCAAATGTTCACCACAATGTTTATTCTCCCTCTCTCTTTTTATTCTCACATAACACTGAGAATAGGAATTTCTATCCTGACATTCTCGCCAAAAATGTTGCAATTTTCTGATAAAACATTATTCCCTAAATAATTTTGTTTCTACTTTTCCAATAACTTAATAATTCCCTGTCTTGTGGCTGTATGTCCACAAAACCACACACGTTTATACAATTTCATACTGGTTATTGTTGACCAACCACCAAAATAAGCTGTGTGGACAAACCACCGCCAACAACAACAAGAAAAAACAAACTTCAAAATGTTTGGCATTTTTTAGCGAAAAAATTCAAAAATGGCAAACATATTTTTTTTACATTCGAGCTGGTGCTGGCCGCACTGTTTTTATGCTGCCACTTTTGCTGGTGGCAGACAGACAAACAAGGGAAACTTAGTTTTGTTTTTTTTCTTTCATCGAAGGCAGCCACAGCAACATAATGCACTTTTAATATGTTGTCCAAAAAAAAAAAGAGCTATAACCAAATGTAATCAGAAAACGAACAACAAATCGATCGGAGGGGGCTGAGGAAAGGCAAAACTCACCCAACGACCGGTTGGGTTAAGGACAGACTGAAATGGCCCATACCAAAATGAATGGTGTGTGCTGGGATGTGGTATGACGATGATGTCGACGATGATTAGTTGCGGTGTGGTGGAGCTGGTGATTGCGCTATGAGCGCGCTTTAGAGAAGTTGGCTGGTATGCTTACTTGAAGACGGTGACGACGGCGACGACGACGCTGATGATAAAGTGAAAGTTCATACGAAAGTGTATGTTTGTTTTGTCTTTCTTTCTTTCTTTTTTATTGACAGAGAAAATAATTGTACACAAAGCCACATTCACATATGTATGTACGAATGTCGATATGTACATAGGTACACATGTATGTACCGCCAGCATATCACTCATCCATATGCGGACAGGTATGGCTTTGATTTGATTACAAAGCAAACAACATCTTCAACTTGCAGCTTCCAGAAAATAAGCTTACAGTGCGGTGTTGTTATCTGATATGGCACTCTCCTCTACCTGTTGAGACATCAACGACACCAAAAACAAAAAAACACAATCCTAGGTGTATGCTTTTGTATGCATATGTGAGTGTGTGTGTGTGTGTGTGTGTGTTAATAAAACAGTTTTTGTGGTTAACAATGCTTTAAGGTGCGTCGTCATTTGTCTATTTTTGAGATTTCCCACGTTCTGTGTCAAGCATTAGATCGCAACTCCACACACACTTCATTTGATAAACTGCGGAATGGAATGTCTATCATGAGATTTACCTGGCAAATTGCAAAATGTTGTTCAAGAATGTTTTTCGTCGCTTTTGATTGAAACAAAGAGTGCAAAAACAAAATATTCAAATAGTTTTGAATATTTTGCATTAGAAACACTCATAATTGTGTGGTTTTCAAAGCATGGCTTGTATTTTTTTCTATGTGTGGGGAGACCGAGTCAGTGTTATTTTGAAGAGAGCGTTATAGAAATAACTGAAGATTTTTTTTCTCTAATTTAAGTTTTTTTTTTCGCATCAAGTGCTAATCTTTTTTAACAAAACACCCACATTTTGCAATTTTAAGTACGGACAACTCCTTATTTTGGTTGTAGCCAATTTTGAAAATAATTCCTTAAGAATGACTTCATATTAGAAATTTGAAGAAATAGGCGGAAGTATGCCACTTTTAAATAATAAAAATTATTTTTGTACACATTCAACTAGGGAAGGCTTGGTTCTACAGGTATTTAGATCAATGTGACTTCATGTTTGAAATATGAGAAAATCGTCGGATGTTTGCTATTTTAAAATAAAACAAGTAAAATAGAATCAGTCGGTTTTGCCGACAGATGTATACCCCCAGCCTTGAGTTATGATTATTCAAACTGTTGACCCTTTATGGGGGAGGTTCCGAAGCCTTTGGCCAATATTGAGCAATTCGTATTTGACCTAAGACTGATATAAATATTACAACGTGCGAGATTTGGACTATGTCGACTACTTCCTGTACTTTATATGAGCTATGTGCAATTTTTTGGAAAATGTGAAGGTAACAGATATAGCGGACCAAAGTATTCTATTTTCATACTTCATCTAATAAAGATAGAAATTTTTTTATGTTGAAAATTTGAAGGAAATCGAAAATTTATATCCAATTTTATGCGAAATCATAAATTCCGATAAATTACCTATTCATATCGGATTTCTGGTTAAGAGAAATATTTAGATATAGGAAGTTGTAAAGAATCGCCGACTTGTTTCGCAATTTACGACAGATATAAGTATTGGAAATTATGACCCTTTGTGGGTGAGGTGCAACAGATCTTGTGTTAGTAAAATGTTTAAATGTGGGAAATTTGAAGAGATGGATGGATGAATTTGGATGCTTATTTAGCTTTCTTTGAGTATTTTGATTTTCAAGATCTTGAACCCTGGGGGAGGCACCAGAAGAAATAGTGCGATTTCTACCATCTTTTTAACAAATCTTGTGTTGATGGAAATATTGAGATGTGCCAAGTCTGAATGGAAGTGGATGTTAATTTCGTGTTTTATGAGCTTTATGACTATTCAAAATTTTGACCCTTTGAGGGGCAGGTACCATAAGTAGTGGTACGATCTTTACCATCTTCATAACAGATCTTGTGTTGATGGAAATATTGAGAGGTGCCAAGTCTGAATGAAATAGGATGTTAATTTCATGTTTTGTGAGCTTCATGAATATTCAAAATGTTGACCCTTTGAGGGGCAGGTACCATAAGGAGTGGACCGATATATTTTATCTTCACACCAGACCTTGGTTTAATAAAAATATTGTGATGTGTGTAACTTGAAGGGAATGGAATGCTTATTTCAGATTTTATGATCGTTTTTGTTATTAAAAATGTTGACCCTTTGTAGGGGAGGTACCAGAAGTAATTGTCCGATCTCTACCATCTGTCTGTCTGTGGAATTCACTCTAGTTTCCGAACGAAATGAAGTAGGTTGATAAAATTTTACTCAAATGTGTATTATGTCTGCAGGACTTTTGGTATTGACAATGAGTGATATAGGTCCACGCTTTGGTATAGCCCCCATATAATAGTACCTCCCGACATTCGGTATTTTGGTGATTTAAGCGATATTATTCTCCGGAATTGTTTCAAATTTGGTATTTGAAGTTCGTAATAGGTACTACAGCCCATGACAGAAAATTGTCTGTGCATGTTCACGTCTTAGTATAGCCCCCATGTAATGGTACCCCCTTTTATTCGGTATTTTGATGATTTTGGGGACATTATTCACCGGAATTGTTTCAAATTTGGTATTTGAAGTTCGTAATGGATACTACAGCCTATGACAGAAAATTGTCTATGCTGGTCCATGTCTTCGTATAGCCACAATATAACGCTACCTCCCGATATTCGGAATTTTGATGATTTTAGCTACATTATTCACCGAATTTTTTTATTCAAGTTTCGCATTTGAATTTGTGATGGTTTATGACAAAAGTTGTATATGCAGGTCAACGTCGTCCTAAAGACACTAATGCTGAATTCAGTATTTTTAAGAATTTAACAAAATTTTTAACGTATTTCATTTTTTTGAAAATTTCAAAATCGTTCCAAATGGTGAAGGGTATTTAAAGATCGGCCCGACCGAACTTACAGCCTTTTTTACTTGTTTTTAAATGTAATCTTTTCTTGGGCTCTTAAGATCGTTATGGTGGAATTTCAAATATGTCTGAATCCTCCCCTATCATTCATAGGGTTAAACACTTACAACAAAAGTTATTGTTGTATTATCAAAACATGAAACGCACAATTTCAAATGAATTGCTTTAGAATGATTTTTATTTTTGTGTTTGAAATCCAATACATTTGGAAAAAATCACTGAAAACATCTCAGCTATGTGTGAATATTGACAAAACAATAGGGCTAACGCGATGCTGCTGCTAACTGCTGATTGTTAGTAATTTTAGTAACTAATATCAGCGACATAGGCAAAAAATAAAACTAACTGTTTGTTTGGCCTTCGCATATGACTGAGATTTGTTGTGACAATAGGAGGGAGAGGCTATGTAGAAAAAATATTAAATTACATTCCTGAAATATCTCTATGATATTTTTTTAATGAACGAGAGAGAAAAATGTGTGTGTGTGTGAATTTTGTTGTTTTTTTTTGTTTTATGTTTTTATTTATATATTGTTTTACTTTTAATATTTTTATTCAAAAAATTATTGAATATTATTATCAAATCGTTCTCCACTAATAAACAAACGTTGTTTTTAAAAAAACAACATTTATGGAATTAAGCCTGACCATTTTGCAACAACAAAATTGAATTTTTTTAATTTATTATTTTAATATTTTTTCCTCTCTTCTTTTGTTCTAATTACAGTTCTATTACAAATTACTGTTTGACTTGCAAACAAAATAACAACGCTAATAAAATAAGGTTTCGTTACAAAATTTCACGGGAGCTGCGATCATGGGGAGCTTGACGGCGGCCAGTTTACAATGGCTGTCCGCTTTCGTTTGTTTGTTATTGTTAAGCTGTTGTTGTGTTCGAGCAGCCGATGATGTATTTTCCTGTCCAAATGGTAAGTTTTCTGTTTTGCAAATATATATATTTTTTTAATAAAGTTGCTGAGAAAGATACAATACAATGTGGCATCTTTGGCCCTTGGCATTTTGATGGAGATTTTTTGTAAAACAAGTATGGGGTATTTTCTTGACCAATTGCTAATATATTTTACCTATACCACTCTGCATACCTTAATGGTTATTTCGAAACAAAGTGCAATAAAAATGTTACAAGAAATATTACAAATCTGTCTGGTCCCCCAAACCCTGTGTCCAATCTGCGCCACCTGCCGTCGCTGTAATATATGATAATCACCTGCATTTTATGCACCCCATTATATGGCGTTGTATTAAAAGGTGGGCTTTGGCAATTTGTTATTTTGTTTTTGCTTTTGGTTTTTTTTCTGTTCGTCATTTCGATTGATTTACAGACTGAAGAAATAATTGATTTTCCCCTGCCCCGTTCATGTGCATTGTCAGGTGTTTGTTGTTATTTAAATGTTGTTACATGCCTGTGACACAACTTGAAAAAAATAAGAAACAAAACTGTAACGTTCGTATTTTTTGTAACAAAGGTGATTGCAAAAGTCAGTTTTTCCATGGAGTGTTTCTGAGGAATATTAACAATGGAGTTTTTTTTTTACTTCTGTAGTTTATGTGGCATACATATGTATGTGTGCTAGTCATGTGGCCCAATTATAAGAAATATTTGGAAAAAAATGTGCCACAGACAAATGCAAACGGTTTTGGAATTTTAATAACTGGTAGGCTCAGATGCATTTATGTTACAATTTTACATTGGAGTATTTTTTAATGAAGCGGATATTTAAACCCCAAGAATTAGGGATTTATTTTATGATATTGGCTTACTTCTTCTAATATCTAATCAAGTTCTGTCCTTAAAAAATTAAACAAATACAAGTCATACTATTAGGATTTGCAAAGTTGTAGCAAAATCGGATTATCCTTTCTCTTTCTGTACATTAAATTATTTTTTGAAAATTTTGACCTTTTGTGGGGGAGGTACCGAAGTGGACCGATATTGCCCATCTCCGAACTCGATCTAAATTTGACAGGTTGTATATAATCGGATATTCCCCTCGAGAGTTATCGTGCGCACCAGCCAGTCAGACAGATAGACAGACGGTCGTACGGACATCGCTAGATAAACTCCAAATGTCCTGAAATGAATTTGGTCTAAAAAACCTAGGGTCTTAAACCGCTTTTTCGATGGGGGCACGTTTTGGCCTCTCTAGCCATATGACTGAGGATATAACAAGCTTAAAAGCAGTAAGTTCGGCCGGGCAGATCTTTGAATACCCTCCACCATTTGGAACGAAGTTGGAATTTTTCCAAAAAAAAAACAAATAAATAAATAAATAACTCCCGTTAAAAATTCTGTTAAAATCTAAAAAAATACCAAATATAGCCGTTAAATTGGGGTCTATACGACGTGGACCTACATAGACTTTGTTTATATATGTAGGAAGGTATCGTTATATCGGAATTATATGAAGACCTGGAACTAGAAAATTATCTGTCACAGGCTGTAGCATCCATTACGAACTTCAAATACGACATCTCAAACAATTTCGGTGACTATTGTACCTAAAATCGTCAAAGCACCGAATATAAGGAGGTACTGATATATGGGGCTTATACGAAGACTTGGACCTGCAAAAACAATTTTCTGTCACAGACTGTAGTTCCCATTGCGAACTCAAAATACGTAATTTGAAACTACTCCGGTGAATAATGCCGCTAAAATCATCAAAATACCGAATTTAGGGAGGTACCGTTATATGATGGCTATATGGAGACGTGGACCTGCACAGACAATTTTCTGTCATAGTTTGTAGTATCTGTTACGAACTTCAAATATCAAATTTGAAACAATTCCGGTGAATAATGCCGCTAAAATCATCAAAATACCGAATTTAGGGAGGTACCGTTATATGAGGGCTATATGAAGACGTGTACCTGCACAGACAATTTTCTGTCATAGGCAGTAGTATCTGTTTCGAACTTCAAATCTCAAATTTAAAACAATTCCGGTGAATAATGCCGCTAAAATCATCAAAATACGAAATTTAGGGAGGTACTGTTATATAGGGGCTATATGAAAACGTGGACCTATATGGCTCATTTACGAACTTAACCTGCCTACTGGCAAACTATACATGTGTGCAAAATTTTAGCCTTCTATCTCAATTTGTTCGAAAGATAGCGTGATTACAACAGACAGGCAGACGGACGGACAGACAGACGTACATCGCTAAATCGACTTAGAATTTTTCGCTGTTCAAGAATATATGTATTTTGTTACAAATGGTATGACACTATAGAGGGTATATAGTGTGGTGGTGGGTATAAAAATGTATGAATTACGGAAATGGCGGAATGCTCGACACTTTAGAAGTTTGCTTTTCACCACAGTCGTTATGGCAAAAATCTGAAAAATCCTGGAAACTATTTCCTTCGCCGGAATAAAATCATGAAATTGGTAGCAATCAGCAAATATTAAAAAGTTGCTAGTTTCGTTTTGAAAAACCTAACTCTCTGCATTATAATAATAGGAAGTTAATCCAATAGGGGGTACTCCAGACTTAGACAATGAAAAATTTAAAAATGTATGATGTCTTCATTAAAAACCCGAACAAATCTTCTCAGGGTCTCAAAAAAAAAAAATAAACAGCTGTATAAAATGATTACATTTTGGCCTAGAAAACTCCACCAACAACTTTCACAATGCTATAGGAAATATTTAAAACTAAAAAATTCTTGACATTGAAAATTACAACTTGCCAGTTATTGCAAAATTGTTGTTATTTCATTCAACCATTACAATTTGTCCTCCTCAGAACATGTTTTTTTGTGATTTGTTTTTTTTCTGTGCTATGCCAAGAAATATAATTCATCTATAATTACCGTAATAATATCGGGAAATTATTTAATACAATAATGAGCATGAAACAAGAAGAAGAAACTCTATAACTTTTCAAAAAAAAACCAACAACACCAACTAAAAAATTCTACATCTTCATGGTGGAACTAGTTAAGCCATATAGGAAAAATGAATTCTATACAACAACTTGAAGCTATTGCATGGCAGATCACATTCTCGTTGAGAGAAAGAGAAAGAACGAGAGAGCAAAGAATAAAAATGCAACAAATAAACAAGTAACTGGCTGGGTGGCTTTGCCAGCTAACTAACTGGCTGACTGACTGACTGGAGCTGACTTGTTGGTTATAAGTAATTCTTTTTGGATAGCTTTATACACACGTTTTTACGCCAACATCGTGTATGCCTAAAGTATATTTTATTTATTGTATGTCTGTCTGTCTGTATGTACATGTGAGCATAGAAATGTCTGAGTAACAACAAGTGTTGCAAATGCTTAGCATGAAATGAAATGTAAGAAAACCGTTAAAAAACAAACTACAAGCAATAACAATTGTTGTTATAATGTTTTTGGCTTAGTTTATGCCTAGAATTTGAAAAAAAAAAAATTATAAAAACAAAAATTAAGTAAGTCAAGTAAGATTAATTGCAGGCACTTTATTGAAAAATGGGGGATTTGCAGGGGGCGATGCAGATTGATTTTATTCTCTTTAGAGAGCCCATAAAAGAGAGGAATGAAGAAATCATAAACACTTTAGAAACTCAAACAATAAAAAAGACTCCTACATAAAGAAGATCTCTAAAAATAATTGTATTACAAACGATTTTTGAACGATATTCTCCCGCCGTAGTTCTCTGAGTTTCTTTAGCAGAATAACGGAAGTCTTTGACTATTTTGGCTATAGAAAAATTATGGATATTATTTTAATGACAACTGAAAGGTCTCCTATGGTAGATCTTATAGATATAGCAAGCCAAGGGAGATTAATTGTATTCTCTTTAGAGAGCCCAAAAAAGAGAGTTATGTAGAAATCAGAAACACTTCAGAAACTCAAACCTTCCTAAAGATTCCTAAAAAGACTTATATTACCGCAGAATTTTGAACGGTATTTTCCTACAGAAGTCATCTGAGTTTCTTTTGCAGAAGAACGTAAGTCTTTGACTATTTTGGCTATAGAAAAATTATGGATATTATTTTAATGAAAACTGAAAGGTTTCCTATGGTAGGTCTTATAGCTATAGCAGGCCAAGGCAGATTGATTGCATTCTTTGTAGAAAGCCCAAAAAAGAAAAGTAATGTAGAAATCAGAAACACTTCAGCAACTCAAACCTTTATAAAGAAGATTCCTAAAAAAACTTCTATTACCTGCGTACGTTTCAAACGGTATTCTCCCGCAGAAGACCTCTGAGTTTCTTTTACAGAAACACGAAAGTCTTGGACTATTTTGGCTTTGGAAAAATTATGGGAATTATTTTAATGACAACTGAAAGGTCTCCTATGGCAGGTCTTATAGCTATAGCAAGCCAAGGCAGATTTATTATATTCTCTTTAGAGAGCCCAAAAAAGAGAGGAATGAGAAAATCAAAAACACTTCAGAAACTCAAACCTTTAAAAGACTCCTACATAAACAAGAGAATAGAGGACTATTCGCAATAGAGGTCCTTTAAAAGTTCTTCAATTTATATATGACCATTGAAAGACAGTCTGTCTACAGAAGACCACCTCAATGCCGTCGACTTCCTGTTTTCTAAAGTTTTAAAATCTCTTCACAGGTCTCATAGCTGTAGCAGGTCCCTAAAGGTCTTTTGTCTGTAAAAGATCTTTTAATGTTCTATTCGCAATAGAGGTCCTTTAAAAGTTCTTCAATTTATATATGACCATTGAAAGTCAGTCTGTCTACAGAAGACCACCGCAAGGCCTCCGACTTCCAGAAGACCTCTATGAAGTTTTCTAAAGTTTTAAAATCTCTTCAATCTATATATGATCATTGAAATATAGTCTGTCTAGAGAAGGCCACCACAAGGCCACCCATTTCCAGAAGCCCTCTGGGAAGTCTTCTACTCATAAAACACCTCTGAAAGGTATCCTTTTCAGAAAATACCTATGAGAATGTC